GGGCATTTTTTCGCATCAAGCCTCAATCTCGCATCTTCCTCTTTGTTCTTTATCAGTGATGCAGAACAAACATTATGATTGCACTTCTTTACTTGTCGTGTTAAATTGACAGGAATACGAAAAAAGATTCAATATTTTGTTCGCGTAGGCCAATGTCTTCAGAATTAAATTATTTATACCAGCGTTAATCTTTTTCCACATGATCAACTTATTGTCACTCCACTGCACTTATTATATTGTGTACGCAATCATTGGGATAGATACAGACTCTAGAGGGAGCTGCATTACTTTCTAGATATCCGTAGAAAATCAACGTATGAGGTGAGAAACTTTGCAATAAATGTCATATTTCTGTGTGTAAAATGTTACTAAAAGTTAAGAGGATGGCTTTTATCCATAGATGAAACAATGAAGTATGTAATAGTTGAATTTGTGATGAGTTGGAATGTAATTTCTTTGTCTATTCGTGATGTAATTGTCATTTATTTGCCGGATGCTTGCAACGCAGGTAGTGCAGAGGTCACAGGCAGCGCCATAGGGCTGTGTGTGGCTTACAGGCCTGCGTATTGTCGATGTGTGTCGTCGCTGAATTGCCGGGGCACTGTCGGGCAAATTTGGCGATTCATGATGCGGCTTATGTTGCGGCATGGTATATGTAACGCACTGTACGGACATGGCATTGAGTTCAATGACAATTTCGCACTAGCTTTCTTTTCGAACTGTAGAGTCATTAGCCAAGGCAAGCTGAGCTATATGCAGGTCCTCGGCTAGGCGCCTTAGGCACCCTGAAAATATATGCAATGGCAATGGATACCAGATTGCAATACAAATTGCAAAAAGCCAATGCGTGAATGCGCCAGTCTTCTGATCAGTAGGGGCGCTGGTCCGAGAATAAGGATTGTCTTCATAAACGAGGATCGTCTTCGTAAACGCGTAGCACAGATGTTTCATATTTGTTTTGGGTATACAATGATAGATCATTGTATACTCTAAACAAATTTGTGGCATTTAGCTATGACAAATCTGGATTCCTTACAAAAGTCATGAACGTTTCATGCAAGCAAAGATTTGTAGTTTTACAGTAACCTTTTATGTGTGTCTGAGACTCTGAAGGGACAGATCTTTGTACGTGTCCAGTCAGATGAGTAAAGCATGTAACAATGGATTGGCACGGTCGAATTGGGAGACTCGCCCACTCAAGATACTGCTTTCTAAATTGGAGATTTAGCTTACAAAAGGACCAAAATAAACAATACCAACAAGAAGGCAATTATTTTCAGCCAATTTTGTCCTCTCTTAGGTCAGGAGCCCATTGGTTTTGTGTGTGGATCAAACCAAAATATGTTATGAAAAGGGAATATAGACTGAATTTTTAAAGTAGATGGTCAAAAAGGGGCAATTTGTCATGAGGAATCTGCTCATTACATTTTCAATTTGAGCCAAGCCAATCCCCTTGCAGCAAATATAAATAAAGGAAATCTGTACCCCAAATGAGAAGCTGTCTTCCAAATATGCTGCCAAAAATGTTGACAAATGTCTCTGACAATGGAGGCAGTCCCCCAAATAGGAAATAGTTTCCCATACTGGCTGTGCACCTCTACAGAGTAAAGCATAGCCTCAGATGCTACACTTTATAAGCCATGCTGCAGTGATCAAAAACAGTAATAGAGCTTGGATATTCTCTAAAACCAGAAACTTTTACCTTCATGAGACTTTGTAATTCGTCTAGAATGACAATTAACAAAACAGTAAGTTCACATACGATTTCTTGCCGTGAAAAACATCGTTGTATGATACAAAACGCGACAGTTTCATGACGCCAAAGTTTGTGGTTTTGGAGTATCTAAAAATTACTGGAAAGCAACACAAAATCCGTTCAGCAAATTGAGTCATATTCCTCATCTTTTGCAAATAGATCACTCAGTTCTGTCGCCTCTCTTTGCGATTGACGAAATTAATATAGGGAGGGGGAAAGGAGGAATGGGGGAGAGCATCAACATTATATCCTTCTCCTTTGATATTGGATTTAATATCATTTATAATTAATTTCAATGTCTTTTTTTCAGAAAGTTTGGTCTGGAGGCTTGAAGAGTTTGGCAGATATGCTTCCATACATGATTGAACACATAATCTGTAAGTCTGCCCATGTCTAGTAAATGTAGTTTCACTTGGTATAGACTTAGAAATTGCTCTGTTTTAGGGTGCCATGCTGGAACACTTTATAGAAAAATGTCCGCATAAAGCATTACTTCTGTTATGGGATATTAAAATACAGGGTGTAATGCAAATTTTACATGTAGTGTGCACTGTAGGACTGTAGGTAACACTGACTTGTGGGTAGATAAGTTGATGCCGAGTCTCTTAAAAGCATGTTGTAGAAGTTAACTTCAAGTTAACCTCTGTGCGGGCAGTTCTTGTGTGCCTTGATTTTGAAGAAGACTAAAATGCCTCCAAAAGCTGGATCTTCATTAATTGTATGGTTAAGCAGATATGCCAACCAGTATGATTTTATCGTATTTAGTACAATATCGCCTCTTGAAATACAATTTTTCATCTTTCAAAAAAAAAGGAAAAAAAGAAGAAGAAAGATTTAAACTCGTGGAATCACATAGAAACATGTACAAGTAAATCTCCTGCAACCCTGACAACAACTTTGCTTTGCAATTTTTTCATTAAATGTTAATAAAAGAGCAAACATTTTTACTTGACCTTTCTTACCAGTAACACATTTTTCTTACATTTTACTGGCCTGGGGCCAATGGGCCAGTGGTAGTGACCGATTTTCGTGAAAAAGGTGCTGCTAAATTACGTAGAACTCATGTAGGCTAGGAGGGGGGGGGGGGTGAATTGAATTAGTATTAGAAATAGAATTATAATTTGAACTTGAATTTAGAATCGCTAAAACATGGGTGAGATAGAGACAGAGTATGAACATGTATGTAAGGGGAAGGGGAGGGGCCATTTAAGGGGATGGGGGGGGGGGGTAGGAGAGAGTTAGGATGATGATTGCTTAGAATGTAGGGGTGCTACAGGTATTTACATATACACGAACATGTAGGCGGGGCTCAACAGTAACTGGCTCCCGGGACCCTCGGGCACCCAAGATCTAGGTCTGGACCCTCTGGCCCGAATTCACAAAGAAGGTTTAAATTTAACCCATGGTTTAAATCTCCATTTACACATAATCCATGGTCTACAATTAGCCCAAATAAGCGTGACACAGTCAGAGATCTAATATTAGACGTGTGCAAGGCAAGGTACGCTGAATTTGCGCCGATTTCAAACCATGGGTTAGATTTAAACCTCCTTTGTGAATTCGGGCCTCAAAGTTTCGAAATTTATACTTGGGGCTTAATGCACACAGGCCTACAAATTTTTGTCTGGATCCCCATCGGAAAAAAGGCTAGTGTGGAGCCATGATATAGGGATAGGGTACTGGTACTATTAAAAGAGTGGTACAAAGGCATGCTTTGTCTTTTATTCTGTGAATGAAAAGAAAAAAGGGGGATGGGAGGGGATGGAGGTGGATTAATACAGTAGAAATGGAGGGGGACTATCATGTTCAAGTTATCTCAAGCTTGAAATTCAAGTCTGAATGAGGGTAAGCCGATTCCACTGTCAAAGCCTCTTTTCTGCCTCGTTCATCTCCTCAAAGTGACTCCAAATTGACCGATTTTGCCATTTGTGGTAACTTCCTCTCTGTTCTGTCTGTTGACGGTCTGATGTCATTCTCATTGGTGTGGTATTCTGGTATTAAGAGTGGAACAGTAATAATAATAATAATAATAATAAATCACATTTATAATGCGCCTAATACATTGTTTCTAGGCGCAGTGATTCTGTTGTCCCAGCAGCCATTAAGTGAAGCAATATCCTTACACGAAATAAAGCCGGGACGACAGCACCACAAGTACACAATATTATTCAGTACACAATTATACAGTATGCTATGTTACATTACAAAATCAAAATTACAGTTTGTTTATACAAATAAATGAATAAATCAGCTTAATCTAACTTAAATCTAACTTAAATTCTTCTAAAGATGACTTATTTCAAATGAGGAAATACTTCCCTGTATATAATTGGACTTAAGAGGGGGAGGGGGGAAATGTCAGTGAACTTTGTCCTCATGCAATGGGCCCAAAAATGCCCTTAGGGACTGGCAGTAGATCTGTGTGTAACAAGGGTCTTGAGTTTGACTGAGATTGTGAGGGTCCGTCCCCACATATATTTGTGTGTTCATGCACCACAGGTCTTGTGTCAGTCGAGACCCCCAGTGCTGGCCCCACTTACATTTGTACGTAACAAGGGTCTGTAATGTAATGTAATCAAGATCGGTCATCCGGGTGGATAATTTTTCAAGTGTGAACGGGGTCCCAAGACGAGGACCCTCTTGACCTGGTTTTTAATACTCCACTAGGGGTACCTGTACGTGGGGGAAGGGGGCTCACTCCATAACAATAGAAATGTATGCATCATTGACTAGACTCCCACAGTGTACCCTACATTAACCTGGACATGCATACAATGTGCACATATGCGTGTGTGGAGTAGGTAAAGATTTGTTAAAGCACACAACAATGAGAACATTTAGAAGGGCACCTTCATATATTTACATGTCAAACATCAGACTCAGAGGAGCCAAGGTGTGTTTTAAGCTGAGTGAGGCAGACAGGATGATCATACACAGGTTTTTGTTTTATTCTTTAAAAAAAAAGAATGACATAGCAATAAACACTTAATCTGTGCAATGTGGCTTTTCTAGAAGGACAAGAGGGGGGGGGGGGGGAATTTTGGAACATGGTTTATGACCCTTTACTTCCTCTAAGGCTCTATCTTCTGCTGAACTGTGTGAGTAGAATCCACGTTGTTCACTCTACTACGTTTACATCTACCACGTTTACATCTACCGTACACTTATTTCTTTTGGCTGATTTTACTTCAAGACTGAGGATTTATGTGTGATTTGCTTTTGTGGTATGTGACCCTTCAGAGATCAAGCCTTTTTTTCCTAATTGACCCAACCTACATGTACATTGCATCTGTACATGTATGTGTTTCTCTGTGCTGTCTATTGCAATGACTTACTAATGGATCCTTTACCGATATGCATGCCCAGTTTACATTCGGTGTACATTCATGTAGCAGTCTTGGACTCTTGGTATATGAGTGGGTTAGGGTTAGTGCCTCTTTAGTCTGTGCAAGCACAGATTCTCATGTGACACTACCACAATCCCTAAAGCCTTGAGCACAGCCTAGCTCTGTCCGTTCCTGGCTGTGCGTGTCAAATTATCCAAAGCAGCTAATGTACAGAGCCTATATGGAGTATGCCGTCAGTCTAGTCTCAAAGTGCAGACACTGTCGTGCACCTACATCTTCACCTTTTCTTCTTGCTGATTTGACTTCCAGACTGAGGATTTCTGTATGATTTGCTCTTGTGGTATGTGACCCTGTTAGAGATCAAGCCCTTTTTCTTATTGAACCAACCTATCGGTAGTACAGTACATACATTGCATCTATTAGTGTTTCTCTGGTCGGTCTATAACAATGGCTAACTAATACATGTAGATCAACATACATGTACATGTACGTGCCCAGTATTCAGTGTACAGTGTACAAAGCAATCTTGGACCATGAAAGGTGTTAGGTTTAGGGTCTCTTAAAGGGAAAGTCCACCCCCAAAATAAGTTTGTTTCGATAGAGGCAGAATAATAAGAAAATCAGGTGAGTGAAAGTTTGAGCAAATTCTGAATGAAAATAAGAAAGTTATGAATTATTGAAGTTGTGATCAATCAAATACAAATTGGCAACTCTGTGACTTATTATACGAGCTCTCCTTCATTTGCTTTGTGCATAATATTCCATAAAATCATGTTTTCTTCGTTATTGATGACGGAATATATATATTTGTTCCTTGCAGGGGGAGTATAGAAACATATTTGCAATTATTATATTTAGGGTGCATGTATGGTTGAAATTTTTCTCGAGGGAAAATGAAAATTTTAGATTTTTTTAGTACTGAGCAAATGGAAGTTGAGCTCGCATGATACGTCATAGAGTTGCCAATTTGTGTTTGATTGATCACAACTTCAAAAATCCTGACTTCCTTATTTTTAATCGGAATTTGCTCAAACTTTCACTGACTTTTTTCTCTCATTTTTCTACTCCTATTAAAACTAACTTAATTTCAGGGTGGACTTCCCCTTTAATAGTCTGGAAGCATAGACTCTCATGTGACACTACTACTATTCCAAAAGCCTTGAGCGGAGCCTAGCCCTGTCAGTCTCTCTGGCTGTGTCAAATTGTCCAGAGTAGCTTGAGTACAGAGCCTATGTAGTATGCCGTCGGCCTAGTCTCAAGGCACAGACATTGATACGCACAGCAACTGACAAGGGGTTGTGCATGCAAACAAGGGCCTCTTATCTTTAATACAAAAAGTGGATTATTGCCTTTTTTTTAAAAGAGAGAGGGGAGGGGGAGGGGACTAGTTGGTTGATTTGCTATTTTATGTAGACATGAGGAGAATAGAGTGGAATGAATTTGATTGAGGTAGAGGTTAAAGTTATAGAGAGAGAGAGCGAGAGCTCGTATACGTGTGTATTACATGTACCGATAGGCCTATAGACATTGTCAGAGATAGACTATGTATTCAACTTATACTCAGAGGCCGTTTTGTGATACAGAATGTTCTTGTGCTTAATTGCCCCCAACAGTAACAACTGGATGATAATTGAATAGAAAAACATCCACGCATAGAGCCGAGAGGATCACGAAGGCCGGGTTTTTATGTGTCGCTCCTCATTGTTTCATTTTATCAGTTCAGTACAGTTTTATCAGTGGGGAATGGTGTTCTTCCAAGGGGCATAGTGCTCTCTTTGTTTTATATAAGCAGGGCCTAATGTACATGAACATGAAGGCCTACATGTACATGGGTACGGTTGATTCATAGAGTTCTCCATATGTTGTAATCTGTAGCTGACCCATGGGAATTCTAACTTCCCCATACTTCCACTGCATCCTCATTCATAGTAGGACACTGACAGATAGCATGTACCTGCTTCAGTCTTCACTGTTTAGTTAGTTAGTTAGAACATTTAACATACCTATCTGCTTTATCAGTGATTTCTTTGAAGTTTGATCCTCCTCAAACAATATCGGTACATGATACATGTTTGTAGTAACCCTGTAACCAATCATCTGATCGGGAACCGATCGTTGGCCGTTCAGGCGATCAGGTGAAATGGGATAATAAATTCCGGTCGTCGATCAATGAAAATGATCAGAAATTATGCCGAAAATTTCCAGTTTTGGGCTATCATATACTAAAAAACATGCATAGCTGCGATTATTTTGTCATGTCGAGTTGTTTTAGACCATGTTTGTTGATATTAAGTGCCTTTTCATGACTTTGAAATTAATAGTATTAGTCTAGTATGAGATGAGGCAAAACATGTGAGCCACCATTTTGGATTATAATGTAGGCACACATTTTTGTCCATTGTCATTACGGCATGAAAATAGTTCTTAACATGAACTACAACAACTTTGAATGAAAGAATCATCAAAGGTATGAGCGATTTTAGGTATTGGAGTGCTGAACTAACAGTAAAAAAAAAAAAAAAAAAAAAAAAAAATTGAACCAATACTTTTTGCTGATAATTGGTATTACCTTTAAGTAAGCTCTTGTACATGTAGTGGTCACTTATTTAGTCACAAGGAAGAAATATATGGATTACTGAACCGGACTAGAATAGAAAGGACACCTGTCTCTATTGACAACTAAAATGGCCTTGGGGAAACAAGCTTGATTGGAAAAGGAGCTTACATTCTAATGTCTAAATCATAAATATAGCGCTCATGTCTCTCAGACTTGACACTCCTAGCGCTCCACAATTATTATCCCAGTTTTAGCATGGCTGCCACTATGGCGGTCTAGCTTTTCAAGGAATTAATTCCAGTCAATGAATGACTTTAACGGGGCATTATGTTTTCGGGTTGTCCATCTGTACGTTCATCCGTCTGTATGTTTCGTTCTCGTGATCCCGATATCTCAAGAACCGATTGATGGATTCCTGCTAAACTTAGGTCATGTATGTATCTTGCAAAGCCAATGAACTGATTAGTTTTTAGGGTCATGAGGTCAAAGATAAAAGGGTCATACATGTATATGAAAAATAGCTTCTGTTTTGGTTTGTGAAATCGCTCTATGATGGAGGCATCATTTTTTTTTAACTGCTCGCAGTCGAAGTTCCATCTAGTTTTTTTCAACTTCAATATATGTATTTCTTTATCTCATTTCATTTGTCAGGTGAAAGATAAAAGCAGGCAGCCTGAAAGCTACATATATACATGTACTGTACACCTGTAGGACACATAAATAATTGGGTAGTAATGACAACAATGCATGCCTAACACTGCCTATTGTACAGACATTTTGAACAGTAGCTGTACCAGGACATACCTCTTACATTATGCTGTTCACTTGTAATACATTGTGTTAATAGTGGGAGGGTCAGTGACTGGATACAAATATTAATAGTATTCATGAATTTATATCTTATTATTTACTTCGATTATCTTTTACAGTCCTTCTCCTCACTCTATGGGTATTTTCTTGAAAGTTCTTGTTCTCTCAGTATGTATGGAGCCTAAAAATAGAAATAAACAGACAACAAAGACTTTTAGTGGATTTTCCCATTGTACGTCCCGAACAGCATAATACCTCGTGCTGTTTTGTCCCCAACTCTTTATTTATGTTTGACTTGTAGGTTTGGTCAATTTTTTTTATAGAAATAAAAAATATGTGTCATCAACTAAAGAGCGCTAAATGATTGCATGTACTTGGGAAGTTATCCACATTTACAAATATTCTGACCCCTAGGACTATATTAAAGCAATGCAATGAATCTAATTATGTATGGCGTTGAATCATAGAACTCTTGTTGACCTTTCCTTGACCTCTTGAGTGATATCATTCTCTTCAATTTACATGTGTGTATTAGAAGTGTAAGCCTGTCAGGTGTATAGCCGTTTGGTCTACTACTACATACATGTATGTAGTTCATCTACTACCCAATTGGTCTATTCCCATTTGGTCTATACCCAGCCAGTCTACTATTAACATGGTCTAACAATAATTTTGTCTATTTATCATTTAGTCTAATGACCATTTAGGCTAATAGTCATTTGGTATAATTTCCATTTGGTCCAATGGCCATTCAGGCTACTGGTCATTTGGTCTAATTTCCATTTGGTCCAATGGCCATTCAGGCTAATAGTCATTTGGTCTAATTTCCATTTGGTCCAATGGCCATTCAGGCTAATAGTCATTTGGTATAATTTCCATTTGGTCCAATGGCCATTCAGGCTAATAGTCATTTGGTCTAATTTTCCATCTCATCTTATCTCCAATAAGTCTACCTTCCATTTGGTCTGATTGCCAGTCGGTCTAATATTAATCATTTAATCATAAATAATAATGATCATCAAGTGATTATTAGACCTTATGGATGGTAGACCAAACAGCAATTGACCATCTACACTACACAAAAATGTACATTGTTCTGTACATACATTGTATGTACATGTACAGCTGTTCTAAATACACATACATGTGCATACATGTACATTTTCAAGTAGGACTGTGGCCTACATTCCACGTCAGAATTTTATTTTGAAGGGTCTCACATGGTCATTCACCCTTCTAACGCTTTAAAGAGAATGATGAAATAATTGATTTTAAATAGACACTTCATGGTCTTTATAAAGAGAAGGTTGAGTTCTTATGGGAGAGGGTGAACAAATATTTATAAGCTTTTCCATTCTTCTTGTGTTAAGATGTTAAGTGTGGAGGAATATTATTGAATATTAGATAGCTTAATTTTTTTTTTCCCCCAAACAATGCTTTTTGGGGTAGAATTTTTTTTTTACAAGAATTTTTTTTTAAAGGTTTTTTTTTTTTTCATAAATTATCTCAAAATATTATTTTTCAGTCAGTTTTTTTTGCACTTCTTTTTCTAAAATTTGGATTGCCCCCGAAAAAAGAATTCGGGCATCAAAAAATATGGACCCCCCCCCCCCGAAAAAAAAAAATCAAACCAAGGCTATCTAATATAACAGTTATTGACTGGCAGGGGGTATATAACATTCTTTGGACCTGAAGGGAGTTATATTTTCCCTCGTGACCATATTTTCCCTCAGCGCTGCGCGCTTTGGGAAAATATAACCACTTGGGAAATATAATTCTCTTTAGCAGTCCAAATAATGTTATATTACACCCCCTGCCAGTCAATAACTGTATACAATATGCCGCCTGAAAATGATGACTCTTTCAATGCCCTCATATTCGAAAAAATGAGTGGAAATAGCTGAATGTTGGACCAAACATTCATGCCCCCTGTTTGTATACACCGATTCGGTTTGGGGGTTTTATGTACCTGC